CAATACCAACTTTTGTTGTGCTGCTGAGCCGAGCAATGTTGATTAGTACTTCCTGAGGCATATCATTCCACTCACACACACATATAGTTCCTATATATAGACCCACTCTTATATATATATATATATATTTATTTATTTATATGTATATGCATGTATATAGACTACGGCTATTTGCCAAGAGCTGTGCAAACAATCCAAGAAATGTTGCTTTGGAATTCGGGGAAGCTTCAGCGCTCAGGCTTATCAGTTGACCGTTAGAAGTTAACATAACATATGACATTCCCTAGTTTTACATGGACTGAACCGTTCCAGCTTGTTGAATGTGGCAGCCACAATGCAAATACCTATGAAATTTCAGGTGTTGTTCGGGGACAGCTAGAAAACGCTGGGTGAATAGTAATAAAAGCTGTGTGAAAAGTAAAAGTAAGGATCTGTTTGTAGGATTGTTTGCTAGAATAATGGACTTTTTGGAAAGACTATAGACTTGAAGATGGCTTTGCTGATATACGACAGTTTGCTCTAGGCTCCCAGCATTCAATCGAGTTGTTTTAGTTTACTTTTGCAGATTGTGGTCACCTGGCTTATATACCACCAATAACTGATTAATTAATAATAATAAACAGCTTAAATTTTCAAAGTAAATAGAAGGAATACAAAAGATATCCAAGATATAAGAGTTATTGTTATTGTATATCTGAAATATACTACCCTGAGCAATTAATGCATAATCAATGACATTAATTGTTTCAATTTAACCCAAATTCAAGAATTGATAAATAAAATCCTTTCAAATGTATGAACATCGTTGATACCTCCCACAATGAATATGCAGTGTTTGTCACGTGACGTGACAGACAATCTCTGGATGCAGAGTATATATGTGTGTGTACACATAGATACATATGTTAATGTATGTGTAGACATATGTTTGTATACGAATTGATTGCCTTGGACTGCCAGCGGGCGGGTCTTCGGCAGCAGCACATTTAAACTCTGAACCCGGCAATTGATTGCCGCAGTGAAAGCTTCATTTGGAGAATGTGAATGTGGTGAGTGTATCGTGAATGATCCGTGTGAGTGTGCGTAAATGAATGCGTTCTCTAACATCGAAATGAATTGCTTATTTTGACATTTATTAAAGCTTTAAATAAAATTTATGCAGAGAATCAATTAGTGTGCGCAGGAAACTGGAGCTGCGGGCACCAGTGGAGATACGGGTGGAGCAGTGTTGGCGATCACCAGAATTGTGACTGTGGGATCCGGTGGCCGCCAATGGGTAAGAGGACATAAGGCAGTGGACAGACAGAAGGAACACGCACAACAGAAAGTCAAGTAACGAAAAATATTTCTCACAATCAGCTTGTAGACAAGGCGCAAAAAGGAACAAGGAACGAATACAGTGCGAGGCGGCGAAGGAAACATAAAATAGCAACAACAAAGCGCGGTAGAGGCAAAAAGACAAACGTCGAGTAGCAAGAAAAACAACAACAACAACATCAACGATTATACTGCACATAATCAGAGGAGCGACAAAGACTGCAAGAAATCACAGCAGCGACTGCAGCAGAGCAGCTCAAAGATAAACAGGCTCACAGTCGGCTACACAAATACACATGTATTTACAGGCATATAAATACGCATACATACGTACATATAGATTGCGCCGCTCTCTGCAGCAGAGTTGCCATTTTAGCTATCATTTAGCTACTTCTAGCATTTTAACTGTTACGTTTGAAAACTTTTAGTAAAATATACTGTCTGAAGGAACTATAACTTTTATTACTAAAAATGCTACAAATAATAGTTTATAAGACATTGAGCTTGCAAACAGTTTGTTTCAGGACTATCAGCAATAAATCTCAACATTCGTTATGATTATATGAAAAAAATTTAAAATTCTCAATTGCGAAAAATGAAATGAAAAATGAAACATTTTTTTCAATAAATTAATTGACTATTATTTATTATTATATTATAAACTACATCTGATATACGCCTTCAATTGAATTCTACTCCAAAAGCTATTTACTGAAATTATTTAGCCATTTGTGCCTTTTTAACGACAACACTACTCATCAGACGAATCCTGTACACACACTAGCACAGCGCTCTCACACTGACACACATATACAACGGCAGCGATTTTTGGCGCAAAAATCAAAACGCGTTTCCTCTTTGTGCACTTATTCCGAGCGCTCATGCGCTCTTCACCTACTTCTTTCTTCGGTCTGCCTGGCCAATGCACATCGGCGACTGCAAGAAATCTCTGTGACCCCCCCGCTTCGTCTTGTGTAGACACACACACGAACGCACACTCCACACTGAGCTGCCGCTCTTGTTGTTGGGCTCGTGTTAAGGAATTTTGCGCGCGCGTTATACTCGTTCCCCGTGCCTCTCCTTCTGCTCGTGTCACACACATACCACAGAACAGCAGGACTAATTGCCTGCTCTGTTATGTGCATGTCCTTCGGGCTACGCACGATCAGCTGATTGAACATATGTACAGACAGAGGCCCGAAAGGAACAGGATTGTGTATAGGAATTGAAACGGGACCGAGGGTCATTCCCCGCACACCTATCCTTTTCTAACTGTTTGTCCTGTACACGTGTGTGTGTGTGCCCACAGACGAGCATTCTTTCTGATCAGCATTTGTCTATGTTTCGTTGCTTGTTATGTACATTCTTTGATTTCCCCTACTTTTCGGGACTCACATGGCCTCGGTTCGATCCAAATTCTCTGCAAAGTTCAAATACCTTCAATGCCAAAAGCCTGTCAACACCTTTGTCAATCTCCAATTCAAATTTGCTATAGAATTTTTATTGCCAATGTGGAGCTCAACCACAATATACAGTAAAAGCTCCGATAAACGATAAGAATTGTATAATTTGGAGGGGGAAAAACAATAAGCTATCTTATTTATTAATTCTGTTTCAACCAAAAAATTAAAATATTCTAAGCAGCATGTTTTTGTTATTTCTTTTCCTTCTTTAACTTCTATTTTTTAACAAGAAGGCGTCCGTTCAAGAGAGTTTTTACCGTATATACTCTGGAATTTATTTACACACATACAGTCGCACACAAATGCTGACAATATGCTAATGTATTAAATGGTCATAACTTACCTATCCATCAAATTCTTCTATCTCCGTTTTATTGCACACTAATTGCACGTCTCCTCCCCGACTCTTTTGTATGCAAAAGCCCTAGATGGCGCGCACACAAAAACACATACCCATACGTAGCCGTACACACAATCATAGCCCAGTACACCCCGCGCACTCGTTGGCTTTCGCGCGCGCGCGTAAAAGTATCTCAAACGCTTTTTTGCACACTTTTTTAATGCCGCCGTCGACGTCAGGCGCTTAAAAAACAAAACTCCGACCAAATCTCAAACCGCACTTCTTGGAATTTCGATTTACAATTTAGTTCTTCACGTTGTTCATTCCACTTCTTTTTTGGAAGTTTATTTGCTCTTGCTGCTCCCGCTGCTATTGTTGTATTCCATTCCCATTCACGTTGTTACTGCAATTTCATAGTGTTCAACGCTTGTATTAGTGCGCCGCCTATTCTTTGCTCGTAATCAAATTCACTCACTGCATTTGAGTGTGTGTGTTTCAGCGTCTGTGTATGAGTTTTTTGCATACATTTTTGATTTCTCAGTTTGCCCTTTTTGTGTTCTGTGTTCGTCTTCATCTGTGTCGACGCACCGTGGTGTGTGATCTATGATATTCAAATGAGCATCAAGAGCGAGCAAAGGAACAAATATAATTGGTATACCAATGATATTTAAAGAAAATGCTTACATTGATTGTAAAATAATAGTATAATTCATATAAATATCATGTATATGAGAACATTTCGCCTAAAGTTTATCATTGTGTATTACTCCTGATAAATACACACCGCACACTGTGTCACACTATGAATGAGTTTTGAGCTTTTCTTGCCGCATGTTTTTTAACTTGTTCGAAACCACTTTATGATTTTTGCGTCCTTTTTAGTTTGTTGTTTATTCTTTCAAAAAGATGATCCTCTTCCTGCACAGAACAAAAGCAATTCAAGAGAATGAAACCGTAGCTCATTTAGCTTTGAGCGCATTTCGCAGCGGCCGGCAACGTCAGCTCAAATCATTTGCCTTTGCCCATATGATTCGCATGATAGTTTTATAAATGATGTCGCCCTATGGTCGCCGTCCAATTTAGTTGTTTCTTCTGTTGTACATTGCACTGTGCTGTAGATTTTGCCAGCCGAGGAATTCGCCAAGTCTTTACAAGCAGCTCTTGGCTGGCACTGCTATACCCAAGGGTGCCCCCACTGCTTCCCCTGCCTTATACGACACGACTCCCGCAGGGCTTGCATACACAAATACAAACATACATTTGTATGTGCGTACATACACGCATACATACATACTCGCATATGTAACTCGATTTTTGCTTTAACTTTGCCGCAACTGCCCACACACACATTGAGCGCTGCTCATTTAACGACATTGGCGTCTACGTCTGCAAAACACAAAAGAGCCACGCCCCGCTCCACCTCCCCCAAAGAGCACGGTGTCGATCATATGACTGGGACCTGGCACAACGACTACCTGCTGATGTACGCCTAAGGTTGGTCAAGGGGGACAACAAGGCGGGCAGGCGTCGCGGAATGCGTGGATCTCACATTATTACCTGCGAACGACACAATCGATGCCGCACAGTCGATGCCATCGTCGTCGTCGTCGCCGTCTGCGTCTTCAATTCTGCTTAAAGATTTGCACGCTGCTTGAAGACGCAGGCTGAGGAGCCCGCCGGCTCCAGGCTCTGGTCCCAGCCGTTCGGTTGCAACGTAAATCACATGTGTTTTTTCTCGCTTCGGCCTCCACACGAATCGTTGCTCGGCCCAAAATCGGGGCCCACTCGGCTGTCGGTTTGGCGCTCAGCGTCGGCGACGACGCGCTCCGCGCTATAAAAGCTCGCGCGCCAAAATTCTCGCATTCAATAGTGCTCCGGCCGCGCATTGGGTAGGGGAAATTGTTAAGAGCTACCTGTTGCACTGGCACTAGCCAGTGATCGAACGCTCGCTCCAACTACACAGATTTTCCGATGTCTTCTATCCCATTTCGCCTCATTGCCTTTTGCTATTTGGTGTTGGTATAGGGATATGGTAAATGGGAAATTGTTCAATACATATGTATGTATGCTGCTGCTGCTGCTCCCGCTCCTGTTTCTACTCTCGCTCCTGCTCTCTCTGCTGCTTCAATTCCCGATCCTGCTCCTGCCGTTATACTTGCTGCTGCTCGCACAAAAGAGCAGCGACGTCGGCAGCGGGGGTTGCATCGACGGCCGCCGCTCTTTAAAACCAGCTGCGCTCGGCTCGAGAACTACATTTGTTTTCTGTTCGTCGTCGTGTCAACATCTGCGCCTCGAGCTGCTCTCCCTCTCTCTGCCATTCGTACGGTAGTGAAGTAAATTTGTGTGTGTGTTTGTGTTAAAACGATTGGGATATAAAATATTAATACAAAACGCAGCACACAAAGAACTCACAAAGTACGTGCATCTACAAACAAATGCAACAATGTTAAAACGGACACAATAATGATACAAAACTCCAAAAATAAATATATATGCAACAATAAATGCAATATTAGTTTTTAACAAATACATTTTACAAATGCAACATCAAATTCAACGAAGGACTACAAAGTGCAAAGCCGCAACTAACGAAAACGAAACGAACTAACAAATTAACTGTAAATGTGCCAGCAAAAGAAGCGTGTGAGAATTGTGTTTTAGCAATTTTCAAAAGAATCAAATAAAGTAAAACATTCACAAGTTGGAATTCTTCAACCGAAATAGCCAAATAATCTTTACGGCATCCGCTACAAATTAATTTAAATTAAATAACACAAAATGCTGTGGGAATCAATTGCCGAAGAGAACAACTGCACCATGGATTGCAATATCAGGTAATTATCACAAAAGAATAAAACGCATAGGAAGTAGAGGAGCATAGATAATGTATTAAAATAAAAGTGCAAGTAAACTTTAACAACAAAAGAGCCGCGCTTGAACTTGAACAGTACGTACCAACAACAACAGCAACAAAGCCCACACACATACACAAAAGCAACTGTGAACAACGGCACTGAGCAGAAGCCGCCAGGCATTCGCCGTATTCGCTGCTTTGCTTTATACAGTTGAACAAAAGTAAGAGTAAAAATGTTTTTTGTTCTCATTATTTTTTGCACGCTCCACACGAGCGAACGACACGTTTTTTTTCGGCTGTGGCGCTCAGCTGTTGTTATTGTTGCTGTTGCTTTTTCATTCATTAAACCGGCTTCCGCGAAGCTTGCGCAGCTCCAATGCCAACAACAACACTGCTCGGTCAATTTGTATACACTGTTCTTGAAAAGTAAAAGAGTATATTTTGATCTTTTGGATTATACATTCCAAGTCGTAATTTCGACCTGTTTGCAGTTTTTTTAAAGTGTGAAGAGAGTATGCCGCAGTCGGCTAATAACGATCGCAATGTTCTCGCCTGTTTGTGTTATTCTACCTCTTCTCCTTCGTCTTGTTCGGGTCTCTTGCGGTTCTGCGTTGCGTGACCCAAAAAGTCGTCGAAAGTGCAGATGCATTTGACCGCTGACGCAAACAGCCCGAGCGGAACGTGCAAAAGGGAAATTCCGCTTAGAGTACCGCAAAAAAGGCAAGAGGCGGGGACGTTTTTAAGTTCTAATTCAAATTTCCTTATTTATTAAAGAGAGACAACAACAAGAAGCATGGAAATTGAGCCCAACAACCCCTCGCTGTTGCTTGTGCTTCTTCTGCTTGTTGTTGTTGTTGCCTCTACACCACCACCACCACCGCCGCCGCATATTTTTAGCTGCGGGTTTAATGACCCGCCACAGTTTAGGCATCAGAAGAACCAGCAGCAGGAAGCAAACGAAATTCAGTTGACTAATCCTCCCCCTCTCGCTCTCTCTCTCTCCCGCTCTCCCTTGCAGCAACATGAACAAAAACAACACCAGCCGCCGCGTTCGCCGTGCGCTGACCAACAACACCAACACCAACAACATGAACAATATCATGGCTATGGATGCTGAGGAGGAGCTTTCGTTCTACGACGATGACGTGCACACCTTACCGTTGTCGCCGTCGCACCGCTCGGTTAGCCCGGCGTTGCGCGGTCTGCTCTCGCCAGAGGGTTCGCCGCAGCGTTTTCAAATTGTACGCCAGCCCAAGCTGTCGCAGCAGCAACAGCCAGCTCCAGCAGCAGCTGCACGTGCAACAACAACAACATCATCAGCAGCAGCAGCGGGCAGTGCTGATACGCCTGCGCGCAGCTTTCGCATATTCAACAGCTTGTCCTCGTCGGGCTCCATGGAGTCATCCATGGATGATGAGTACATGGAACTGTTCGAAATGGAATCCTATGCTGGCATTCAACAAGCACCTCCATCCACGCTCACCTTGCCCAGCGGTCTCAACTCGCTGATCAGCGGACAGATCAAGGTGCCGCCCAAATCTCCGGAGGCCTTGACCATGATGATGCGACGTCCATCGGTGCGTCGTTGCCTCAGCATGACAGAGACGAATAGCAATCAGCTAGCATTATCACAACAACAACAACAGCAACAACAACACCAACACCAACTGCAACAGCAACAGCAACCAAAGACGTCAGAGACTGCACGGGATTGCTTCAAGCGTCCCGAACCGCCCGCATCGGCCAGCTGCTCACCCATCCAGAGCAAGCGTCACCGTTGCGTCGAGAAGGAGAACTGCCCCACAACTACAGCCGCAATTGCAACAACAGCGACGGCGACCACCCACAGCCACGCCCATCCGCCTCCGCTACGCAAATGCATGTCTCTGAACGATGCAGAGATCATGTCCGCTCTGGCGCGTTCCGAGAATCGCAATGAGCCGCAGCTAATTGGTGACTTTAGCAAGGCGTATGCCCTGCCCCTGATGGAGGGACGTCATCGGGATCTCAAATCGATCTCCAGCGAAACGGTTGCGCAACTGTTGAACGGCGAATTCGATCACCAGGTGGCCAGCTATCGCATCATCGACTGCCGCTATCCATACGAGTTCGATGGCGGGCACATACGCGGCGCCAAGAATCTCTACACCCACGAGCAGATACTCGAGGAGTTCCTGAGCGCGGCACAGACTGAGCTGCAGCAGCAGCAAAATGCCGTTGCCGGCAACAAGCGCAACATCATCATCTTCCATTGTGAGTTCTCGTCGGAGCGTGGTCCGAAAATGTCCCGTTTCCTGCGCAATCTGGATCGGGAGCGCAACACGCACGCGTATCCGGCTCTGCACTATCCGGAAATCTATTTGCTGCACAACGGCTACAAAGAGTTCTACGAGACACAGTCGGAGCTCTGCCAGCCGAGCGCCTATCGCCCGATGCTCGAGCCGGCCTACAACGAGGCCTACAGGCATTTCCGTGCCAAGTCCAAGTCCTGGAATGGCGATGGTGGCGCTGGTGGCGCTGCAACGGGTCGCTTTAAGAAGTCGCGATCGCGGCTGATGCTGTAGATTCTGCTTCTTCTTCTTCAACTTATTATTTTTCTTTGCGACACGGTGGCAACGCCCGCAAAAAACGCGTATTTGTATATAAAAGAGAGAAAGAGAGAGAGAGAGTTGGGTATTTATTTCATTTTTAAAGAAAAAACCTTTTAAGTTGACTTTGTTGATTTTGATTTGTTAATTTTAGTTAAGACTTAATTGTAAAGCTACACACGCACACACACACACATACACCCATACAATCCCCTACACACACTCATGTAAATTTTAAACTGTAACGTTCTTTTCTTCAGAATTTCTTAAGTTCGTTTTTTCTTTGATCAACTTTTGTTTAATTGTTTTTTATATATGGAAATTTTTAACATTTTAGTTCAATTAATCTAGAGCTTTAGTTTGAATTTTTATAACGTAACAAAAAATGTGCATTATAATCTAAAATGAAAATTTAATGTCATAAAAATTTAAGCGGCCCACTCATCTCCCCCCACCCCCTCACTAGTTCATAAGCAGAAAACAGGCTAAACACACACACATACAATCATCATAAATACACACATACACATTTCTATTTTAGCTATGTTAAGCATAAGAGTTGAAAGTTGAAAACTTGTGTTAGGTACAATTTACGCTTATTTGTTTATTTTACCCCTCCCCTTGCTCCGCGCCCCTGGAACACGGAATACATAAACAAACATCCCCTTATTATATAATGATTATTTTAAGCAAAGCTTATTTTTGCATCAAAAAAGGCAATATTATTGAAAAAGATATGTACATTTTAAATATAAACAAAAACCCTGAACTGAAAACTAAATGCATTTTATTAATTATTTTAAAAAGAAGCTGAATATGAAAAACATGAATTTCAAATTTTGGCGCCAGCTATCGAGTGTTGCCGGCTAGTTTTTGGCGATGTTTTGGTGTGTGTCTTTGCTAAGTCCACAATAATATGTTAAGCAGGCTTAGGCAGTTTACAGCAGAGTGCAATGTTGGTGAAACACTGTTGGCTGCGACATAATGCAAGGCAACGAGCTCTAGATGGCGTCATTTGAAACGACCGTTGAATTTAAATTGACATAAATTTGCTGAAAACTAAATAAAATTTTAAAGACCAATTCTATTAGGCACATTTTAAAGATTTCATTGGAATTAAAATTTAATATGCTATAAAATCAATTGAGCTTTATTAATTACTATTAAACCATATTCTAAAGCAAATTCTTATCAATTTAATGCAATTATATTTATATAATTAATATTGAGCAAATTAATTGCCAACAGGGATTTTAAACGCCTGCTTCGCTTTTAGCAGACAATTAGTGGACACAGTTAAAGCCACCACGGCTGCGCCCACCATTCTCTTAATTCCCTTTGACAGCAGATAACCGCAAATGCTGCAATTAGTGTTTGTGGCAATTACCGCAAGGTTTAAGTGCTACTTAGTTAGTTGCCACACACGGCCCAGTTTTTCACTTTTCCAGTTCCCCACTTTCTCAGGCCTTAGCAACCATCAGCAGGCACTCTGAATCACATCCGAATGCCAACCACTTGCATTGGGGCCTTAAGCCCTTTCCTTTTCAACTAATGCACAAATACACTGCCACAAAAACCTACTATAAGTGACTTAAATTTAATAATAAAAAAACTGAAAATTATATACAAGCTAAAAAATTCTAAAAACAATACTAAAAGTATTTAAAGACTCCAAAATGACTAACAAATTGCATTAATATAATATAAATTTAAAAGAAAATTAAAAATACCAACAATACTTGAAAATACCAAAAAGCTGTAGAATTGCTTTCAAATATTTAATACTAAAATATTAAAAATTTTAAAACTAATTAAAATTAACAAAATATGCAACAAAATATTAAAAATGCAAAATTGCTTAAAAAATACTTATGAATTTTGAATAAATTAAATAATCAATTAAAATATATTTTAAAAATATTTTAAATCTTAAGCAAATAATTAAAAAAAAAAACACACAAAAAAATATTTAAAAATTTGTTGAATTAAATAAATTTTTAAATATTTTAAATTTTGTTAATTAGTAACAATTTGTTATAAAAATAACTAAAACATAATAAAAATAAAACAAATAAAAATAAATATATATATATAGAATATTTGGGATTACATATATAAATTATGTTCTGAAATTTTGATAAAACTTAAAATCTGAAATCGAGAAAATTGAGATAAATTTGGATCTAGAATGAATTTCGACGATTTATTTAATGATTTGATATTTAAAGCAAATCATTAAATTAAATAATATTTAATAATTATTTCAAGTGAATAATTTATTTGACAACGACTCCGATTTATTTAATGATTTGATTTTTAAACCAAATCATTCAATTAAATAATATTTCATAATTATTTCAAGTGAATAATTTATTTGATAAAGACTCAGCTGTAAGAGCCCCACCTGCTGTGCTGACAATAGGTAGATCAATCAACAAATTATGCTACTGCTGCGTGCTCGATCAACCTAAAAAGTTTCTAAATTAAAGATATTGCTTAGCACGATAGATGAGCTTGTTAAGACAGCTTATGATTTGAAGAGCAGAGCAGAAATCAGAGCAAAACTCTTGAACTTTCGCACTTTTATTCGGCTTCAAGTGCGAAACAATTTTGCTTTTAATTTCGCTCAGTGTAGGCTAGGCACCTAGCTGGGTGCTCAAATGTGTGTTGCATGCTGTGCGTATTGTCCATGCTTATCTGTGCTGTGGGTGGTGCGAGTGGTTGGCGACTGCTGCTGGTGGTTTCAGTGGCTTTGGCATAAAGTGTTGCAAAAACAAAAAAAAAAAACAAAAAAAAAACGGGTTATTCAGCGCAATTAAGGTCAAAAACACGTTGGCGTCAACAACATGCCACCATGTGGCATCTTCAAACTGTGTGTGCAAGTGAGTGTGTCTCTGTGGGCGCGCGTATGTGTGTGTGCATTCAAATTTACAGAAATCGCGCATACGCTGCGTAAGCCCTGCCATTAGATATTGCAAGCAAAGTTCTGGCTGCCCGCTGTGAGCGCGTGTGTGCGAGGGTGTGTGTGTGTGCGTGTGCTTTTTTTTTTTGATAAAGGTTTCTCAAAAGCCAGAACTGCGCCGACGCCGAAGCACGAATTCGTTTCGTTTAAGCCGCCTGCTGTTGCTTCGACTGCGAAAAGCGACGCTCAGTCATGCTCTCTCTCTCTCTACTTCTCTATGTGTGTGTGTGTGTGCGTGTGTGTATGCGTGCAGCATTGCGCCTATAAGATAAAAGCGCCGTGCTATGAAAATCTTTAGATTGCCGCCGACCAGCGAACGGCTCGCATTCACGTCTTGCTAACAGTAGCTCAAAGCGGTTCGGTTAGTTCAGTTGCATATATATATATATATATATACATATATATTTATATATATATCAAAATTATATATATATATATACCTACTTAAATCTATACAAGCCTAGCTAAGTGCACACAGCCCAAGCTCAAGCCCTGCTTTAAAATAAACAAAAAATATAATTCGCAAAGCAACAAAACTAGTTTAGGCCTGAGACAAAAAGCAGCGACAGAAACAATTTCTTACTCATAAAATAAACTGAAAACAATAAATCGCAATTTAAATCAAACAAATATCGTGTAATTCGAAACGTTCGCAAACCATTTGACAAAAGTGTTATCCAACTACTCGTGGCAAAAGCCTTTTCGCTCAGCAACGCCCAGCAATCAATGGAGAACTATAATTTATATATATATATATATATATATATATATACATACACACATAAATATATATATATATATATATATTATATATAATTGATATATATTTAGTCGAAGCTGTTGCAAATCAATTTAGTGTTTCGTAGGCAAAGTGCTTCAAGTTCAATTGATATGTCAATGCCATGCGCAGCTGAAATCAGTGCAGCAATTGCGACACGTTAACGGTTATGCAATTTGAATCGGTTATATTGTTCCAATAACTAACTTTAATTGCTGATAGTTCAGGCAATTGAGCTGCAGCTGCATAGCATACATATCATTTGAATAATATTAGCTTTGCAATTTCGAAACAGTTTCGAATCGGTTTTTTTTTCAAATTTATCAAAGTTTAATTTTTTTTGGTTTACTTCAAGTAAATCTTTAGTCTAATAGTGCATCGAAGGCAGTCATCTAAAAATTTCTTTATGTGGCCTAATCTCAAACGGTTATATATGTTTTTTTGTGTGTATCGGTTATAGTTAAAACTCAGTTTTGACTTAGAAAAATAATGCTATACATTTTATAGTTTTTAAGTAAAAATTCGTGTATACTCATAATATTGAAACGGCTTAAACGGTTTTTATCGGTTATATGTAGCTTACTTTGTTAAGGCTCTTAAAGTATTTAGATTTCGAAATATATTCAAATACTTTACTTAAATATTATTCAAAAGAAAATATAGTATATGAAATTTAATATGGAAAATGAATTTTAGTCATATTTTAGCAGGGTTATAAATCGGTTATTTACTAATTTTTTTAAAATACTTTTGTTAAAATTTGATTTTAAATCAGAAAGTTTGAGAAATTATATGAGAAATAATTTTTTTTAATTTTTATATATATATATATATATATAATTATATATATATATATATATATATATATATATATATATATATATATATATATATATATATATATATATTTTTTTTTTTTTTTTTTATTGAAAATACTTTGAAATAAATTAGAAGTTTCCGTTTAATATATTTTTATATAGGTCACAGTTTATATATATTTCATAGTTCAATTGATTTTGTTGTATTTACCCAAATAATATTTGAATCTTGATATTTCCACTAATGTTAGCAGCAGCTATATAAAGTCTTAAAAAATATATCCAATAGAATCAAAGCAAGTCATAGGAGTCTATAAATATATAATATAGTTTTTAGAGCTAGCAAAGATGGTTGAAGATGAACTTAAAGAGTCGTTAATCCAGCGATATAAAACATATATTTCAGAGCTATATATAGAGAGAGCACAAGTTCTGTATGCAATGGGCACATCTTGAGCCCCGTTGCTCAGCTTTGTCAAAGATTGAATCGCACTTTCACAGATCGCTCACAAAAAAGCCTGTTCCATGGGCGAGTGTGGCGCAGTCGCATTCTGTCCTATTTCTAATTGCCTTCAAAGAAATGACCCAATCGAAAAACTATCAGTGTTTTGAGCATGCAGCGCTCATCATGCTGTCAACTACGGTCGACTTTCGAATCAGGTTCAACATGTTCTCAATGCATAAACAAAGCGCGGCTTCCCCATCTCCCTTCATAGGTGCAGAGAGTGGGAAATATGTTAATACGGGAGTTCAATGTCCGCACCCACAAGCAGCTTTTGCATAAATAAACACACACACACACACACACACAGCTTTGACTCTGATTGAGTATAAAAAAAAACGAGTTGTAAGTTCGCATCTGGTTTATCCAGTTGTTGTTCTTTCATACGCTTTACATGCATATAGCTGTGTGTATGAGAGAGAGAGGGAGATGGCTCTCTTCCAGCTGGTAGAGAGATGCTCTCCAAATGATCTCGCCTGATACTAGAAGCGTTACAAGCTCTGACGCTCCAGTTTAAACTGGCTGGTGACTTGCTATGCCAAACACCTGACGCGCAGTGCCGCACATTTTGCACACAATCAGCATAATAATAGTATAAAATAATAACAAATAAACGCCAGGGCAGTGCAAAATACAAAAAATACAAAAATACAAAAAAGCAAAAAACTTCCATTAGTCAGAAATAAAATAATTCAAGTTTCATTGGCCCAGACCTTAATACGTGTTCGGCATGGGCAAATGGCTCAAAGATGCCCAACAACAACCAAGGAAATTTGCATTAAACAAAAATAAATAAATAAACTCAGCTGCAATATCAGACATATCCCATTTCGAATGCCCTTCGTTTGGTCTTGCGAGGTGAAAGCAGCTCGAAAAGAATATTTAAAACTAGTTTCGAGCAAGTTTTTGTTTTTGACCGAGAAATTTTGTTAAATTACAAATAAATTAACACTAAAAAATATAATTTATTTGACATGCAACTCAGCTGAGGCAGAACTGAAAGTGGCACTTCGGCAAATGAATACACTTTTAAAAAATGGGGCCTCTTATAGAGCATTTGCTCATAGGCCATATACAGACTATTCTATATAATAATCCGATTCAGCGAGAGAAATTATTTTTTTTTTTTTTTTTTTTTTTTTTTTTTTTTCGTTTTTATTTCTTTATTTTGTTGCAGCTTATTGTCTTAGACTCTATAGCGCATTTAGCTCTAAACCTTAACTAATGGGAGGGCAGATATGCCAATTATTCTGCACTTGTAGCTACTATCTTAATTAGTTCTAATATTGTCTAGAGGATGCAATCTCTTCAGTCTTCGCCTATTGTTGTTTATAGCCAGGTTGCTTGCGAGATGGTTAGGATGCGCTGCAAGTCTGTCCGCGTATCTTGAACTGTGTCGCCCAATGAGTTCAGCAACTGTGGGAATTGCTAAATCCCTATGTAAGACTGAGTTTCTTACAAACCAGCTGGCTCCAGTCCATCTGCGTAGTGCTTTATTCTGCAGGGTCTGAATTTTGTTCCTTGTAGTCTTCGCCGAGGAGCCCCATAGAGAGATACCATATACGAAGGTTGGGACAACTATTGCCTTGTAGATGGCGGCCTTGCTGCTGTAAGACAACTTGCTTGAAGCTCTCAGCATCCAGTCGAGGGTTTTTAGCTTGCTTTTGCATTTTGAGGTTACTTGACTTATGTGCGCTTTAAAAGTCAGCCTTCTGTCAAGAGTGATACCAAGGTACTTTACTTTTGAGGCTTTGGGAATAGTGGGCCCCAATGCAACGCTTGGGCAATCTCCTCTTCTAGTGGCGAAGGTAGTATGTACAGACTTTTGTGCATTAATGGTGATACACCACCGTTTTGCCCAGCGTCCGAAAGAGTCCAGATATTTTTGTAGTGAGTCTGAAGCTTCTTGCGCAGATACGTGACGTGATAAGATGGCGGTGTCATCTGCATAGGTCGCTATGAGTACTGCATCTGTACTTCCTATATTTGGCTCGGGAGTTGGCATATCTCCTGTGAATAAAGTATAAAGTGTTGGGCCTAGAACACTACCCTGTGGTACTCCAGCCATAATTGGTCTAGTCAAGGATACTGTTTGCCCCCTTGACACTTGGAAGGTTCTTCCAATAAGGTATGAGGATAGCAACGCGAAAAATGGGGCTGGAAGGGTGGTCCTCACTTTCTGCAGCAGTCCCAGGTGCCAAACTCGATCAAACGCCTGTTTGATGTCTAAAAAGACGGCAGAGCAGTACATCTTTTCTTCAAAGGCTCCAAGGATATGGTGCACAACTCTGTGAACCTGTTCCGGTGTTCCATGCTGTCTCCTGAAGCCAAACTGATGGTTTGGAATGGCCTCCTGGCGTCCCAGATGTGTCAGTACTCGTTCCAGAAATATTCTTTCGAATATTTTGGAGAGTACTGGCAACAGGCTAATTGGTCTGTACGACTCAATTTCTCCCACGGGTTTGCCAGGCTTAGGAATCATCACAATCACGGCGCGCTTCCAGCAGGCTGGAAAGTGCCGGATGCGGAGCATGGCGTTGTACACCATAGTTATGTAGTCTATGGTGGAGTCAGGCAGTGCTCTAAGGACTCTGCCGTTTATTAGATCATATCCAGGGGATTTTTTTGCCTTCACTCTTCTGATGTGTTCAAGAACCTCTTCTTTTGTACATCCAGTTATCTGGTCTTCAGCTGGGAGGGGCGAGAGAACGATGTCTTCTGTTGCTTCGATTTCTGAGGCCTCTGCGGTAATCACCGGCGTGAATTGGTCTTGAAGGTGGTTTGCAAAAGCCTCAGCTTGAGCTTCGTCTCCAATGTGCCAGGAACCAGAAATGCTCCGAATGGGATGACGTCGTATTGGCTGCCGTTTGAGCTTTCTTGTAAATTTCCATAATTGAAACTCTGCGTCAGTGGGCGATTCAGCTCGTACCAGCGCATCGCTGATACACCTCTTTTGAAGCAGGGCGAGAGCAGCTTTAAGATGCCTCGTGGCTTCGTTGTACATGGATTTGGCATCAGGCGTGCGTAATCTTAACCAGCGTCTCCTGGCCCATCTTTTGTGTATTAGTAGGTGTTGGGCCTCCAAGGTGAGGGGGATGTTGTACGGAGACTGTTGTCTTGTTTGGCAAGATGGTGGGGCGGCTTGGTGCGCAGCTTTGACTATTTCTTCCTGCAGTTTGTTTGCTGCGTAGTCCACGTCTTCAGGAGTGTTAAGTTCCATTTCTATGTGCAAAGAGTAATGGAGCTCGCGCCTAAAGACTCCTAAATCTGATCCTGCTGGCAGTAGTTGTTTCCTAATGGGCAAGGGCTGTGGCTGCGCGTGGATTGTGACTATTAGTGGCAGGTGGTCAGAGGATAGGTCCAAGGATTCTTCAATGGTCAATTGCCGGTCACAGATGCCTTTGTAGACAGCGAAGTCGATTGCCGAGGGCCTGTGTCCATTAATTGGGTAACGGGTGGGGGCTCCAGTCGCCAATA